GTGTGGCCCCTGTTTTAAACTGGTGGACCCGCCTCTCCACCACCTGCTGGCTTCCCCTGAGGCCTCTGAGCCAAAAAAGAGGCTTCAAACTGTTCCAAATACCAATAAAGGTAGTTAACCCCCTAGTTCCCCATATCAGGGGGGATCTGACAGATTCCCGCTGCTGCTTCCAGTAAAGCAGTGCAGCTGTCCAGTGGGGCTCTCGTGTGTTCTGGGTCCAGAGAAGGGCACAACCCCCTTAGTCCTGAACAATCCCCCCGGCCTCCTTCAGGCTAAACCATTCCATTCAGACCTCACTGCTGCTCCCCCAAAGCAAAAAACCTCTAAATTGGTTGAGACTTTGCCATCTGTGACCCTTCTGGCCATCAGGGGATGAACCTATCTGTTCGTCTGGGGGGGAAACTGGCCGAGGCCATCTTTTCTGACTGCTCGATTCCCGGTCAGCCTCACCAAACCGGTGGGGGTGCACACTCCTGACGGGTTCCACGCACCTGGGGGACTGTTGCAGCAGCCAGGACAGCTGGGAGAAGGACTCCGCCAGCAGGGCGGCGCGCACCGGGAAAGTCACCGGGTTCGGGAGGCTTTCGCACACCTCCTCCATCCTGTGCACCTCCTCCCAGCTGTAACCTGCACACACACGAGGGCCACCGGTCAACCAAGACCCCTTCACTGTCACTGGGCCCCCCTGCTGTTACTGGTGAAAATGTCCCCATCAGAACCAACAGAAGTCCAATTAGGTTGATCGTATATTCAAATATCAAGTCAGGCATAAGTCATTTAAGCAGTCAGAAGTGTCTGATAAGAGATTAGACATTACATGTCATATTATATTTAGCGTATATGGCACAAATTCCCCAATTAGGCGATGCTAACCACCACACCACGCTATCCAGATAAAGAACAATTTCATCAAATTCCAAAATTTTAAAATGGTTTTTAAATAAAACGTTGCCAGGGTGGCACCAGGGTGGTGTGGTGGTCAGCGCCATGGCCTCACAGCAAGAAGGTTCTGGGTTCAAGTCTGGGTTTATTGGACAGGACTTTAGTCTGTAAGGAGGTATTCAGAGAACCACCCGCACCTGGGTTGTCTGTCCCGGCGGTCCAGCCTGTTGTCCAGCCAAGCGACAGCACGGTGTGAGCGGGCAGAGCCGCCACAGCCGAGAGGAAAGCCGCGGGCTCCAGAGGCCGGGCCCGGCCCCCGGGGCCACAAAGGACGTCTGCGTTGATCCAGACGGGCAGCTTCTGCTCGGCCAGCAGCTCGGTCAGCAGCGGGAGGGACGGCGCCACGGCCTCCAGGCTGCACAGAGCGCCAACAGCATGAGACACCGCCATTTAAGGAGAGCTACAGCCTACCACCACTATCTGAGGAGGCTGAGCTCACCTCTTGAAGTCCAGTTTTATTCCCTTCTTGTGCTCCCTCACCCCCTCCAGCCACTCCCTGAGCGTGATATCGCTGTCCGTGTCAGGGGGATGAGCCATGACGGGTTCTGTGGGCTCACAGCCCCTCAGGATGACGTCAGCTTCTATCATGTGGCAGGGACCTGAGGATAAAAGCATTTCCCCTATCAGTTCCCTCTTATTTTACAGGTTTTGGAACGTTCACCACCTCATACTTCAGCCACCACAAACATGGGGGGTGGCAGTATTGGAGTCTGGATGAGATGAAGGTGTGGATAGCCTTCATTATGTGGAAGTAACAGGATTTTGTGTGGATGTCTTAGGTGGTTTTCAACGGTTCTAACGCTTTTAGTCTGTCTGTGTTGCTTAAGTTTTTTTCTTTTTCTCTCAGCTGCTTCACTTCTGACACGGTGGGGACACCGGTGCCCACACGCCAGCCTTCAGGGTGCTCCCAAAAAGAGCAGATCCCTCCACAGACCAGTGTCAGCACATCTACTCTAAAGCCTTCCATCCCTGACAAACAGATGCGTTGACTACAGGCTCACTGTTGCTTTAAGTTATCCTCAAGAATCTCTAACCCCCATAAATGTTCTCCCCACAGGAGAAAGCAGCTCTTTTCAACATCAGAGTGACAATGGTACTGGTCCATTTTAGGCATTAACTGTTTGGCTTTCACTAGCTGATTGCAAAGTTTACAAATTGTGGTGTATGTTCTTCTTATTTTTTTACTTAATCTGACTAGAAAACACATCACTGATGTAGTAGCATGTCTTAGGTATGTGGACCCCTCCGGAGGATAACAGGGATGGCTCTGATTGGCTGCACTCTGACCGGATCACACAGGTGACTGAATAGGGAGGAACCGGGATTGGGCCGGGGACTATATGGGCTCGGGCTCAGGGTTTTGGGCTCGGGCTCGGGCGGTGTGGACGCCGGCTGGCACCCACCTGTGAGCGCCTCCATCAGCCGGGCTCTGCTGTTGGCAGCGTGGGTCCAGCTGACCTCGGCGGCGTCCATCCGGCTGACCCTCCCCTGCTCCCAGAAGTACCGGAGCGACGCGTCCGCCATCCCGCCGCTCGGCCCGGCGGCAGCGTCCCTCCTGCCGCAGCCCGCCGACGTCCCGGAGCCCCAAACCGGCAGCCAGCACGCTGCCCCGGCCGCTTTTAGCCTCTAAATTCAGCGGGGCTGTCACGGATGTTTTCCCACGGATTAAAGTGGAGGAGACCATCCAGGTTAATGGCGCATTACCGCCACCTGCCGGCCCGGAGGCGGTATTACAGGCACACCATTCCTCTCAGAGATAAATAAAGTAGAACACCTACTGTACATACCAATCTTATTCGTTCCGGGACGTACTTCTTATGTTAAAATATTCGTATATTGGTTCAAATATTCCCATTAGAAAACATTGCAATTTGTATGAGTCGTTCCACAGCCCAAAAACCTATGATAACTCCTTAATAAATACTGCAGATAATTACACAGAGCAATAAAACAAATTACTTATGTAAGAGAGATGTAAAAAGAAATAAATTGTAAAGAAATAATAAATAAAAAAGGGGTTTTATTGGCACCTTTGAGACCGACGAAGGTGAACTTTAAGCTTAGCTTCATTTTTATATTTATTTTTGCATGATTTCAAAACTGGAAGTTAGAAATTTACTTCAGGTGTTGATTTGAATATTTGATCAAATTTCCCTTTGTATGTATGTATTTATAAATTTGTATGTAGAGGACCAGCAGTGAAGTAATTCTTCCTCCTGGGCGAGATGTACCCTATTATTTTATTACTAGAGGAACAAAGACATCCAGACTGGGAGAGTTCAGCTAATTCATCTTTAGGCGTATCAGTCAAAATCAGTTCTTTCTCACTGGACTCTGTAGCCAGGGTCAGTTAATATCCTCCATGTTGTGCCCACATCCATAATGACTTTTTACAGGGATTTCAAGCCAGTAGACAGTGTTTCTGAAAAGGAAATGGCATAAATCTCTGTATTTACCTTAAAAAGTTACATATGAGAGTCCGGGTCACTGCCAGCCACCACTCAGATCCAGCTGGATGAGAGGTGAACGGGGGTCACCTCCACTGCCCGGAGACCCCTCAGGGTTTGGTCCTTCCAGGCCGATTTCTCCCGTTGGTGCCGTCTCTCAGAGCTGTTTGCATAAAACCGCCACCACAACAGTCTTTCATCCTTCTCATCCAGTCAGCTGAATCTCTCGTCCCTGCTTACTTTTGATCAACACCCCCCCTCGGGCCACCAGAAGATAAGTTACATCAGCAGCAAGGCCGTTTCCACCCGTGTTGCATAATGCTGTGAAAGGAGCCGGCTGCCTTATGGGTGGGTTCTCAGGGACCCCAGACCAGTCACGGTGGTCTTTAAAAACAAAGGGCAGCACACAGAGATGTCAGAGGCAGGCTTCCCAGAGTAGAGGTAAGAGTTTCACCCCTCACCTTTCAGTTAGAAGCGTTTTTTTAAATGTTCCATATGAATATATACATGCGTTTGATTTTTTCAGAACAAAAAAGCAAGTTGAAAATGTCACAGTTTGAGAAAGAAGCCGAAACTCTGTTAGTCTAAATTTGAATTTGATTTTGTCGGCAGAATGTACAGAATATTTATTGGAAGACTTGTTTGTGAATTGTTTGGTTTTGAAACTCTAAAAGACTGCGTAGAAAAGACGCAGCTCCCATTTGAACGAATGTTTACTGGAATACCAAATTTGTTCATTTTCGACTGAAGCAATCGTGAGGATTTCTCTTTTTTGGTCTTCCCAGCACCCTGTTAAATCATGGCTTCCAGACTCCCTGTCTTTCTCCTGCTCCTGTGCATCCCTACCTTGGCCTGGTCCCAGCTCAAGCTCTTCGACCTGCGGGCCAGCGACCTGCCCTCCAGCCTCTTCGGGACCACCGATGGCTACGTGAAGGTGTTCTGTGGCGCGGCCACGCTGGGGAAGACCTCGGTCCGCAACAACAACCAACACCCCTGGTGGGAGGAGGAGTTCGCGCACTTCAACGCCAAAGAGAACGACATCCTGAGGCTGGAGGTTTTGGACAGCGACTTTCTTTTCGACGACCTGCTGGGAGTCTGCCAGCGCCAGATCAAGCCGGGGACCCACGAGCACGACTGCTTCCTGGAGAAAGGGGGCACCCTCCATTACACCTACACGCTGGGCCAGTAGGCCCCTGAAGCGTTTCAGGGGGTTCACAGATGACCTCCCGTGGGTTGAAATCAGGCCTGATCAGCAGAGCTACGTCCCAGACCATTTGCGTAGAATTCAAGAATGAATCAGAAAATTTCTACAAATACATCAATTGTGCCCCGGCGCAGTTTTCCCAGTGTTTTAGTGTCCAGTGTTTAGTGACCGTATCCAAACGTGTTAACGCCTACGACAAATAAAGTGCACAGCAACCAACCTTTCTGTTTGTTCAGTTGATCTATGCTCCCTCAATTCATCGGCTTTGGCTCAGGTAGGTTTACTGGGAGAGATACCTTCAGCCATACATTTTATCATTTTATATCATTAAACACTAATAACTCACGTATATCATGTATAAGATGAGAAAGTCTTAAATTCATTTTAAAAATAAGGATTTTAAAGCTGAGCTTTGGTGAAAAGCCATGGTCAGCTCAATTTGCTTACTATGAAAACAAAAACTCTGAGACACAGTCAAATGAGCTAACGCCGGTTTCCAAAGCTAGCTATTGGATGAAGTCATTTCAACACAATAATCCGTTTAACGTGTTGTAAATGAGCAGCTATACACACCTACTGATCCAAAACTAGAAGATTCAGCTCTTCTTTGGTCGACAACTTAAAGAATTCCACGTCCCGAGTCACATGAAACACAAAAGTGCACCCATCCACAGTCTGACAGCCAAACAAGGACTGAACCGCCTCGTGCACACTCGTGAACACGTGCATGGTTATAATAGGGTTGCTAAAGCATCCTAAACCAAACTGGACCAAAGAATGATGCGGTCATTGGATAGCCACTGAAACAAGCTCTTAGGGAGCATTATTTTGTTCCAAAATCAGCTCTGTTATGTTAACGTGGGGCCCCCACCACATGGACATAGTCCCTGTCCCTGTGCACGAGACGTGCACGTGAGCACCAGGCAGAAACGGTGGCGTTGGGGGGGGAAAAAGGCTCTTTATCCTGTGTGTGTGTGTTTGTGTGTCAGCTGGGAACCATCCCACCTGTAGGCCAGTCGAACGGAGCGACGCCATTGGCCGGACTGCGTTTCGGGCGCCACACCTCCTGGTGGACTTTTCCATGGTGTCGGAAAGTCAGAATCTATATTCAGACACAAACACACACACGCAGAAAACCCCTTTTTTTCCTCCCTCTGTGTGTTCCGGCTGCTTTCTGACATCAGGTCAGAGGCTCCAGCCGCTGGCCCGTCCAAACAAAGCACAGCCCAGCCGCCGGTTCCAACTGAAAAGGTGTTTATTTTCTTACTGGACGATGGGAGCAGAAGGCAGAGGACGGCAGGACCGGCGAGCGGGCCGCAGCAGCCCCCACCCTCCTTAGCTTATCATGCTCCTCCACGATACAACTTAATTTAACATCTAGCAAATAAAAATAAAAAAAGGGCCAGTCAAGTCGTATTTTAGCCAGGAAACACAATTAGAAACGAGATTTAAAAAAAAAAAAGAAGCAACGGAAATTAAACATAAGCCTTTTTTTTTTTTTTCTCTATTCACAGATTCCAAATACTCTGGTATGTACGCCCACGCCTCCCCTGTCCGCGGATCTATCTACAGTCTACAGCTAAAAAACGGTGGGCGTCGCCCTGCCGTAGGGGGGGG